TTGTCACCCAGCTGAGAGCCAGGCGTATGTGGGGCTCCAGTGCAAGGGACCGGGTCCATGAAATAGCGCATCACTCCGGATGTTTCTGGCAGGGACAGAGTCTTGGCCTCTCTGAGTCCGGGGAAAATGGAAATTTCATTCCTTTTCCCAGAAGGGGAAACTGAGGCTCAGAGAGGCAGTCTCCTGTCCTGGGGCTCCCAGCAGAGCCCGATTCGCATTCTGATCCTGGCGCTCAGCCACCCTGTGCCGGGCTATCTTTGGGTGGGGCTGGGGGGTGGTTTCTATTTTCCTTTGCTAATCAGCATCAGCTGCAGTGAGCTGAGCACCTTGTGCTATAGAAAAAGAACCGAAAATAAGGGTGGGTGCCTCATGCTATGAAAAGACATTGAAAATAAACGTAGGCGCTGCTGTCAGAGTTCCACGTGGGCGACTTCTCATCCTGCAGTGGTCAAGCCCTTACACAGGTGCTGACCGGGCTCAGAGAGGGACAGACCCTCGGTGCAATCACACAGCCACTCAGAGGCCAAACTGGGGAGTCTGACCCTTAGGGAGAGGGCAGAGGTCAGATCCCTGCAGGTGGCAAGGGATATGGCCCCTTTAAGAAAGCCAAGCCAGTAAGGGAAGCTCCAGCTGGGGGAGGGAGGGAAAGAGCAGAGTCGGGACTTGTTGCTAGGGCAACGGGTTACCTAGCAACAGGCTTCTCTGCAAGCTCAGGGCCTTGCAAGTGAGGAGGGGCCTCTCTGCCTGGTCCCGCCTGACTCTTGGGTGCTCTCCTGCTCCCGCCAGCCCGGCCCTGGAGAGGAGCCCTTGATCCCTGAACTTGTCCCCAGCATCAGACCTCTGGGTGCTTGCTGGGCTGTGTCCTCTGCCTGGAATCCCTCTCACCACCCAGCAGGCAAAGCCCAGCCCCTACAGCCCACAGCAACCACAGCTGGGGTCCTGGCTCCTTCCTGGGATCCCCAAGGCTGGGCTCAGCCCTGACTCTGCAGGGCTGGGATGGGGCCCTTCGGGGGCCAGACAGGTCCCAGAGCTGGCTGCGCTGGAGGTGTGGCTCGAGGCAGGGGACAAGTGAATGAATGAACGAACATGAGCGGGTGCTCTGGGCCCCAGCACACAAGGGGGTCACACACAAGGTCCCAGCCTGGACGAAGGGGTGCAGGCCGCCGGGGTCAAGGCAAAAACCCTAACTCTCTAGGGTAGGAGGACGTGGGAATTCCCAGCGGGGCTGACTCCGTGTCCTGGAAATTCAGCCTGGTCCCAGGTTCAAGTCCTGACTGCACTGCATCACTGGGCAGTTTTCAGGTCCCAGAGTCCCATGCTGGGCCTCAGTTCCCCCGTGGTTAATCTGTGAATCACTTGCAAGGTACAAAGCCTGTGAGGGCTGAGGTGTGGATTCAAACCCAGCCTCTCTT